GGAAAGGACTTCGCTTATTTTAAAATATAAACGTACCTCCCAAATTTGCCGCTCTGCCATTGGCCAAGACAGTTGTTTGACTTGCGCGCGCCTTGTCAACTGACGTTTACGTTCTGCTGCTAAATCAGCCTACTTATTCTATAGGATTATACTTCTACATGAGAAATTACTGCAATTTGATTGGCTTAGAGCAGTGGTATTTCAGCTTAATTTGAAATAGCTACATGTTAAAATTACAAACCTTTTTTGGGTAGTAGTATAAACAAATAATAGCATGATTTGTACGTGATATTTGGCATAAATACCACTCGTGATATTTCAAAATTGTCTCAAATTTCACTCGCCTAACGGCTCGTGAAATTACGTGTAACAATTTTGAAATATCACTCGTGGTATTTATACCAAATATCACTACAAATCATGCTATTACCTATACAAAATCATTACCTGACGAGGGAATTCCAATACTACATGAGAAATTTCTGCAATTTGATTGGCTTAGAGCAGTGGTATTTCAGCTTAATTTGAAATACCTACATGTGAAAATTAGAAAACCTTTGCGGGTAGTAGTATAAACAAATAATAGCATGATTTGTAGTGATATTAGGTATAAACACCACTTGTGATATTTCCAAATTGTCGCAAATTTCACTCGCCTAACGGCTCGTGAAATTATGTATCTCGAAATATCACTCGTGGTATTTATGCCAAATATCACTACAAATCGTGCTACCGTATTTATTCGAATAAGCGCCCAACCTCGAATTAGCGCTCACCTCGAATAAGCGCCCATCCTAAAGGCAGAAAAAGTTAATAAGCGACCAGCCTCGAATAAGCGCCCACCCCCTCTTGCTCCCAATCAAACTCAAATACGCGCTCACCCCCACCCCACCCAATTGAGGGAATACATTCTAATAAGAGACTTCCCCGAGGACGGAGTTTTCTTCAGAGTATTTTACAGAAACCTTGCTTTGTTACTTCTGCGCGTTTTGTTATTAGCATTTATTGTTTTGTTGCAAAATAAACATACCGTACTTTACTTGCTGAAAATGGTGAAAATTTAATAAGCGCCCAGCCTCGAATAAGCGCCCACTCTCAAGGTCCAAAAATTTAATAAGCGCCCAGGGCGGTTAATCGAACAAATACGGTATTACCTTTACAAATTGCACGCGAAAACCGATTGAGTGCGATATCGGTTTTCAAGTACGTGGAATTCACGAGTCAGGTAATGGATTTTCCTTGAATCGCATAACTGAATAAAAATCAGAAAAAAAAAAAAGAAAACGGCAATAATATTGTTTGTTTTTATCCTGAGCGCGCGCTCCAGGAACCCATTTCAAAGTCAACTGTCAGAACTGTCATTGCGTTAGCGAATAGGAAGCAAGGTCAGTCGTACATGTTTGACCCTTCGACAACTTTTTTTGTACCTTGTGCTTGTTTTTACATTTGTTTTCCAATTTTTTTACATGTAAACAAGCTTCACACTAATCGTAAGGATAAATAGAAGTATTTACAAGCCGTTTATCTATAACATCTTTTTTTCAAATTGGTCATTTACTCGAGAAGGAAAATAATTTACACCTTTTACCTCTTCGGCGGCAAAACTGAAAGAAATGAAGTGTCCAAGCGAAAGCACTGAAAGTTTAACGTTGCGATTGATATATGGTAATTAAGTACCTTGAAATGTTTTAGAAACGCTGTTCAAGTTCAGCTCTGTTTTGTACTTTTCTAAGTATCACGATTCAGGACGATTGCAAGCGGCGTTCTCTTTGTCGTGTTTTCACTGAGGGGCCATGTCGTCTTTGAAGGTACTTATTTCTTCTCCTGTATATGTGACAATCGACACGGCGCTTCCTCCGTTGTCGCTTCTCCGTTTTGTTTGGTTGAACTTTGGCTTGCCATTTTCTGGGCCGTGTTCACAAGATTTTGTTGTTTTGTCGTTGTCGCGAGCGAAAGAGGTTTTTTTATGTTTCTTCGAGAATTTGTAGTTCAGTTCAAAACAAGAAAGAACCTCCGGCTCACTATAAAAACGCTTTTGTTTCTTTTGAACTCTTCAAAAGGTGACAATGGTTTTGAAAACATTTTAAAATGACATTGTAGAAAACCTTTTTTGCAGTTGTTGTGTTAGAATTTGACGATAGTTGTTACGTAGATGCGAAACAATATTGCTTAGCCTCGTTTTCAACTCGCAATTCCAAACTAAATACGTCGCTTCGTTAACCAATCAGAATGCGAGATTTTACTCAGTTATGCGACTCTAAAGAAAAATTGTGAAGAGAGACTGAACAATACTGACCCCAACACCTCTAGCCTACATTACAATAGACCTGACATCGTCCCTGACATCTTATTGAATTAACAAATATTCTGCTGCTGACCATCAGTATCACAGCGCAAGAGCCAGTGCGCGCGCAAAAGAAATTAACAAGTCAGGGTAATTGTTTATGACATCACTAAATTTTAAAACCTCACTTTTTGGAAGAAGAAAAACGTGATAGAAATTTGACGGAAGATTATATAGAGCGGTGAAGTGACTTTTTTCTAAGAAAAGATTTTTTAGTGCATTTAGAAGAACAATTCGTGCACAAAGGATGGCACAGATGTATGTTTATAGTTATGAGCAACTTTTGGCGATTGTAAACCAGCAAGCAGCAACCATAGCTCAACAAGTTGCCACAATTAACAACCTCCGGACTGAAAGAGATTGGTTGGACGAAGACAACCAACTTCAAAGAGAAGAGGTGGAAAAAGCTACAAAGAAAATTACAGATCAAGAAAAAAATGCAAAGTTAAAAGAAAATAAATTAAAGAAAGAGATACTACAAGTAGAACAATCACAACAGAAAATCAAGCAGAAGCATCAGAACGCTGTAAGAGAACTCAATGATCTCAAATCAAGAAACATGAAGATAAAATCCCACTGTACCTCTCTTTTGGATAAGCTAGATAAGGGCACCCAGGAGCTTCAGCAAAAGCAAGA